TTGAAGATTACCGGAATCTTATATTACTTGACAACCAAACGTGGTAATCAAGTAATATAAGATGACATTACCCCAATAATCTGACATTACCGCGAACCAAACGCCCCTTAGAGAAATGTGTTTGGTTGGTTTGAATAAATTTGTAGGTATGTTATATTAATATGTCTGATTGAAAGGAATAAATTTGTGGGGATGTTATTTAAATGACTAAATTGTCCTCAAATTAAATATTATTATTTAATATTTTAGATTATTCATATAACCCCCCTACATTTAAAAACTTAGCAAAAACAACCATATAATAAAAAGTTTGGAAAATCAACCCCACCAACCCAACCACTGTCTGTCATCGGTAACCACCGCCAGCCGCCTCCAGCTGGCAACCTAACGGTGCATGGAAGGTTAGAAATGGCCGTGTGTGTAATGCCCCACTTGAGGTATGTAGTTAAATTATTGTTGCATTGCTTGAATGGTTACTGATTTGTTCTCATTTGAGCTTGCATGTTGTTGTTTTTTGTTGGTTGGCCCTTAGTTGAATTTTGTTAAAGTCTTTTTGAGAAAAATGTGAAGAAAATCCCTTAAACTTTCATTAGGGGTAAAATTGTCTTTTCACTCAAAATTAGTTGAAAAATTGGGTAGTGAAAAGAGATAGAATTTCATGGAGAATGTAATAAAAATGAGGGCATTATTGTAATTGATTAAGGGACATAGATGAAATTTTCAAGAAAGAGCAAGGGCAAAATGGGAATGATTGTATGTAAGTTGAGCTAAAAAGGGTTTTAAGTGTTGAAAGCCATTCATTCTTCACCATCTCCACCGCCATTCTCATTCCCTAATTTCTCTCAATCCTCCACTCAATCTTCCAAGAATTTCTAAGGATTTTTGGGGTAGTTTTTAGTAGAGATTTAATCTAAAGCATCCTAAGGTAAGGATTCTTGCTTTAAATAAGAATTTGCTGATAATTTGTTAAAGTCTTATGTTGTTATTGTTTAAAGTTGTAGATAGAATACAAGATACAAAAGGGAAGGAGAAGTGCTAGAGAAGCCATTTACCCATAAGGTTCAAGCAATCAAATGATTGATATGTATGCTCACATTTATGAACTTGAGATTGATTGTTGAGAATGATATTATTGATGAGTTGATGGCTTTTGATGAGAAGATTTGAGCTATGAGAAGTAGAAATCAAGTTGTGGTAACCAAGTGAAGTTTGGTTACATTTAGAAAGAATTTAAGTAGAATTTTTGAAGTGTTTTCTTGGCCATGTTTACAAGGCCGTCTCTACAACATTTGTGACGCTAGACAGGAGTTACTTTGGGGCCTCTAATAATATAAGCATATATTAATTTTATTTTATTTTTTTATTTTTTCTTTTTTTTTGCCTTTTGAGATGAAAAATCACTAACAGAGGTGGATAGCAATCGACAGGCTAACAAGGTTAGGTTGGTGGGGGGTTTTGGAGAGTAAATGTTGGAGAAGTGATGGGTGGTGAAATGGGTGATTTCCAATGCCAAGATTGATAAGAAAAGACTTGAGAAGTCACGGCCCAAAAGGTATCAGTGGCTGGCGATTCGCAGAGTAAACGGATGAGGTATGATAGGGGTTTTGGTGAGAGGGCTAAGGGGAGGAAGATGGTGGTGTCGGGAAAGGCCAATAATGTTGGGTACATGTCGAAAAGGCTGGAAATGGCTGTCGTGTGGTGGAGTTGGGTTGCGAGATTCATCAAAAATCAGCCAAATCAAGGGCTATCAAGGTTGGGAAATGATAAAATGATGATTTCGATCGATTTTGGTAAGAAAATCGACCGAAATCAACTCCAAACCACTAGTGGCAGGAGAGGGCTAAAGATGATTTATTTGAATGTCAAATTTTGGGATTGAATTAGGGATGAGTAATTTGAGATATGTAAATGACTATTTTAGCCTTTCATTGTTAAAAGATATTCAATGTGTTAATTTAGGTGTATAAATTAGAATATATGAAACTAGAGGTACAAACTTACTATTTTATCAAACTTTGGGTGGAAATATATGTAAAAAGTTTATAATAAATTTGGACTTTTTTTGGCTTTTTTTTTTTGGGGGGAGGGGCCCCTTGGCTTAATAAGAAATTATGAACCACTTTCATTTTGAAAGATATTAAAAAAAAAAAAAAAATTATAAAAAATTTGGCCCCATTTTTTGGGGGCCCTAGGCAAGTGCCTCACCTGCCTACCCCTTAAGCCGGCCCTGATGTTTAGATTTATTGTGGAGGAGTTTTGCTCCATGAATGGATGGTTAAAGAAAGAAGTAGAGATTTATCAAAAGTAGAATTAAAGCATGCATGCATTATGTTTGATAAAATGCCTAAGTGAAAACTACCCTGTCCTAGCTGTGACCTTCTGAGTGATTTTTGAGAATCTTATAGATTGAATTGGGTTGAGAGAAAAACATAAAAGTTGTAGCCCTGTCTCTAAGCTTTAAAACGAGACCAAAATCATAGTAATCCGATATGTATAACTCAAGTTATGCCTTCTTGAGTGTGGCCTGTGTAGAATGATTATCTTGATGCAACATTGCATATGTGCATTTCATGAGTGCATTAATGAGCATGAATCATCCATATACATTAATTATGCATTAGAGAAAGAGTAGAAAAAGAGTAGAGAACTTTGAGTGTGAACTTTATTAAGAGAAAAGAGAGAAAAAGAGAATAGATTAGGTTGTGCGATGGGGAACTCGTAAGTAATGGGTAGAGTATTCCCGCATGTACGCCGCATTGAGAGAGCGGCATAAGTATGAGAGAGCGGCATAAGTATGAGAGAGAGAAGCGGTGTAGCCCGTGAGAGTGCATGCGGATGAGGGCTATACCCGAGAGTACCCGAGAGAGAGATTATATACTCACATGGCCAAGGGTTCCGAATCCATCCATAACCGAGTCCGATCGGCTAAGAACAAGTAGAAGTCACAAAGAGCAGGAGCGAGTCCCGGCCTTGCCCCCGGTAAGATGGGGCCGTGACTTACTAAAGAGAGTTAGTAGAAAAGAGTTCTAAGAAAGAGAAAACAGAGAGAGAGAAACAGAAGGAGAAAACAGAGAGAAGTATAAAAGAGAGAGTAAATAAGAGTTGTAAGGAAAGACTTAGAGAGAGAGAGTTACGGGGATAGATGACTAGAGGGTTTACTTACTGAGCATTATTTGTGCTCACCCCATTGCCTTTCTATGTTTTTGCAGGATTTAAGTGAGGACACGGTCGGATGGACGTCAACACGCAAGGAGGAATGGCTACACTGTCTACATAGTTTTTGATAGTTTTTGTTTATGATACTAATTTTGTATAAAGAATGTATATGTTTTATAAAAGAAAAATTTGAGCCCAACTACTTATGTTATTATATATGTATTTTATTATGCATATTTTTATGAGTATTTGAGTAAGAAGTAGTTATTACAGTGTGCCAATATGGCCAAAGATCTACCCGCAAATGGCTAGATTATTCTGGCCATTTCCAGCAAGATCTACTTCGATATGGCTGTTTTCAGCCATCAATATGGCAAAAAACGGCTATATCGGAGCCTTCGATGACTCTTAGGGACTCTCGATGACTTTTGGCGGCGGTGATTAGCCAACTACCGGCAATGGTGGTGGGTGGCAGTGGTGGTTTGCAATTTGTTTTGAATTCAAGGGTAATTTTGTTCAAAAACTTAATTAAATAAGGGTAAAATTGTAAAAGCTAGACTAATGTAAATTGATTTTAAAATAAGGACATTATTGCCTAAAATTTTTATTAATAAAAGATAAAATTGTAATAAAAATAAGATAATTAAGTAATTTTACAATACCTAATAAAATTTTAGATTATCCGATTACTTCCAATATTACTAACAATATATTAGAAGATTACTATAATCTTATATTACTTGACAACAGTATTATAAGATAACATGACATCAATAATCCTATATAACCCGCAACCAAACGCCTCATAAGTGAAATTATCTTTTCCCCCTCATATTTTTTTTTCTTTCTTTTCAGCTCTCTTCTTCCTCTCATCTCCACTTCTTCTTGCTCTTCTTTTCCTTCCTTTCACCTCCTCTTCTTCTTTTCCTTCTTTTGTTCTTTCTCCTCTCTTACCTTTCTTTTCTCCCTCTTCTCTCCCTGGCAGCTTTAGATTTAATAGAATTAGGGTTTTAAATTGTTTATACAATTAATATATTCTTATGGAGATTAAATTCATGAGATTGTTGTTAAATTTAGAGGTTGAATTGGTGAGATTATTGATTGTTTTTGGATGTTAGATTTGATTTTGAATTTGGGTGATGAATTCTGACGTAAGGTTTTTAATGTAAGATAAGAATGAGTAATTTCTCTTTTGAGGTTGTTTTAAATTTGAAATTTTAACAGAATAGCGGTTACGGTCGCATTTATCATATGTACGAGGGTTAATTGTTATTAAACAATCAACACGGGGTATATGTAATTATCTCTTGAAATTTACAATAGTTTGAATAGTGGCAAAGTTGTCATTTTGCACTCAACATATTTTTTTTAACAGAATCTAACAAAATGGGAGCTGAGGTCGCATTTCCTTTATGTGTGGGGGTTTGAGTGATTAGGCGATTAACATGGGGTTTGATAAAATTATCCCATTTATCCAAGATAAGATTAGGGGTATAAAGGTATTTTAAAATTAAATGACTCAAAAGTCAAAACATGAGCATACCCAGAATTTACCAAGATTTGAAATGAAAACACGTTATCAGAAATTCACTGACACACCACGTGTCACAGTCTGACCCGTCAATCTCAAAAACTATTTTGCCTTAATTTTTGCAGACGTCTCCTCTTTCTTTCCAAATAAACTCCATTTTCTTCCAAAAACTTATTTCAAACTCACCACTCTCCAAATTCTACTCAAACTCTCTTTCAAATTCTTCCCTCCTTCGTCTTTGCAACTCTAACAAACCCGTCTTTCTTTTCTCTTCAATCATCTCTCCCCCTCCTCCCCCCCCACCCCACCCCCCCAGGGTTCTTCCATTCATCTACGAACAAAGTCACTCGTAGGTAAACCTTTTAACTTTTTTCATTTTTCCTGGTTTTGTATAAAGAAACTGCAAATATTTCAGAGCAATGGGTTCTTTATAATCTCTAAGTTTCAGTTTTTTTTTTTTTTTTTGTTGAACCTGGTTTATACGGTTGAAGAAACTTTCCTGCGTTTTCTCGCCTACCAAACGGGTTATTTTACTAGTTAGAACGTCAGCATTTTGAAATATTTTTAGTTGAAAGAATGAACAAAAGTGAAAAAAAGGGTCAAAAAATTAATGCATGGGGATTGGTAAGGGCATGCGCCATTAATGTCGATATTGTGTAATTTTTTTTTTTTTAATTTCATAACACAAAACCATAAAAGATATGTTTTTGATAGTTATGGAGCTTTAAATACGCTTGATTTGATATCAAATAATTGATTATTTCTCGAGATCTGCGCAGTAATTATTTGATATGGTGTCTCTTCTTCTTCGGCACATATCCTGCACTGCAGTGTTTGCTTCCATTCATCTTTGCTTGTACTCTTACTATGTTAAATACGATGCATTATTATCTGCTGATTCCGATATCTAATTTAATACGGTAGGTCCGTGATGTCGGAGGGCGATCAGACGATGGAAAAAGCCACATCAAATCAGGCTCTTCCTCCGAGAAACTCTTTCACCACAAATCCTTCCTGGCTTCTTCCAGCCCTAGTTGGTACAATTTAGCTCTAAACTTTTTCAAGTATTATTTAGCACTTTTTTGTTTTTATATATTATTTTTAATTATTTTATGTCCTCTTGTTATATAGGAATGTTTGGTGTTTAGCTCAATAACATGTTATTTAACGTAAAATATTATCATTTCATGCATGATATTTATGGTTAAATGAAATTTAGTTGGTTGTATATAATGGGACATGGGTTAATGTTATTAATAATTGAGTTGAGGGGGGTAACGTTACCGGCACAGTAGTAATGGTTGTGTTTAAAATTTGAAGTAGTTAGGTACTGTGGATTCCCTCCTCACTCTTCGGTCATTGCTTGTTGCAGTGAATAATATCTGATTTCTTAACAGCGACCTTTCGTTTGTATCTGCATCCACAATTTTTCTCCTCCACACGCGCTAATTAATCCGCGTGTCGAGCACTCGAATTCTTTCTAATCAAGTAATATGGTCCATGTGTGTATTTATAAGTGTCAATTAAGTTACCAGAGCCAAAATTTCTTACACCTCCAACTTTCAAATTCTTTGCATTTTCGCCCTTTTCTCCTTGGATTGAATATTTCAAGCAACTAAGCAAGTCTTTATTCATGGTTTATGACAGATGTTGATGAAAGAATGAAAAAGTTGCTGACAGCAAGCGCTTCTGAAGAAGATAAAGCTGGTGAAACTTTTGCTGAAAGAGCTGAGTGGTATTATCAGAAACGCCCTCAGCTTTTGTCTCTTCTCAAAGATTTGTACAATGGCTACATTATCTTGCTCAACGCAAAACTCAAACACCCACCTCGAAAAAGCACTTCTGAATTCAGCACTTTGGATGAAGAAGATCAGTATGAATCAGACATAGAGAGCACCATTTCTTACCAACAACCAGCAGCGCAAAGCTGGACTAACATTGACAACATTGTGGCCGAGCTTGTAGTGAAGAATGTTGAGAATGAAATGCTGCAAAACCAAGTGAATGAAATGGAGCAAGTGGGAAATGAATCAGAGAGGAAGATAGAGTTGTTGAAGAAGCTGCTTGAGTTGCTGGAATCTGAGAGGGCTATTTTGATGAATGAGAATGTGAATTTGGAGTACAGAGTTGGTTCTTTGGAGGAAGAGAACAAAAGCTTGGCTGCAGAGGCGATGTTCATGAAGAGAAAAGCCGGTGAGCTCGCTCGGGTTGTGCTGAGAATGAGGGAGGATCATAGGGTTTGTATTTTGAGTCAAAAGATTGAGGATCTTCAGGAGCAAATTTATGGGTTGGAGAAGAGGAACAAGGAGTATTATAAAATGCTGGTGAAGAGTGAGCATCAGCAGCAACAACAAGAAGGGATGGTGATGAGCAGAAGCAAAAGCGGCAAGGTGAAGAGTCATGAAGTGGTGACTTTGAAAGGGTGTTTTCAGTCTGGTGGTGAGAAGCTCAAGTTGAAGAAGTCAAAAAGTGCTTTGTGGACAAGTGATTGTGTGAAGGAGGATGGTAAAAAGAAGGGGTCAAAGTGGTGGGGAAAAGTGAAAAATGTGGACTTGTTCAGTTGTGGCCTCAATCCTAGTTGTACTTGAATTGCTGCTGCTGCTCCAAAGTTTCTCCAACTAGACCTTTTAGGCTATAAATAATATATGTTATATATGAAGATTTTATCTTGTCTTGTAATTTCAACTCTATTAGAAGACTGATATTACTAATGATGAAGAACTATTAACATATTTTTCTATCTACTTTACAAGAAAATTGGAATCATGCTAAATTTATCCCAAGTGTGAAGAATGTGATTGTTTCTTATTAATGTCCTCGAAGCAAAGGGATACGGGATACCTGCTGTGTAATATTGAAGCCAATTTTATGACAAAATATCTCATAAATTGTATAAGTTCAATGCTTAGAGTATAAATGTACAACTAATACATGAAGATTCCTTGGATAAAAGGGCTATTCAAGTCAAAGTATGGTAGAGTCAAAAAGGAGGAACTAACTTTTTGCATTGCAAGCATCTCAAAATCATCCCTAAAGTTTGTTTATGGAAGGGGATTGTGGAGAGGACGTGTAGAGTAATCAAGAATTTTGTTCTAGCATAAAAAGTGGGATCACATGAGAGAAATTGTATAAGTTATGAATAATTTTAATCCCTCATGAAATTCTCTCCAAAGAACATGTTTGATCTGTTTTCTGAATTTACAAAAAACACAAAATTTTCTCGATTCATAAATGAGTGCCCCTAAGCGATTATGCATTCCATAAGTTGCCAACATGTGTTGGATTAGAACTACAAGAACTGTATAAAAAGTTATAATACAGACTGATAACTGATTTTCACAATAACAGAATTCTAACATAATTCACATGATTGCCTAATCAGGACACCAGAACAATGCGAGCCTCTTAACTTGTATTAATGAGGGTTTTGTGAAGAAAAACCATTTTCATATCTATCAACTTTTCTAAATATTATCACATCTTCAATAAGGGGGCAAAACAAAATGCTCTCTTGAGCTTACCAGTACTTCAGATCACACTCTATCTTGCTCTCACCACATCTCTTAATATGCTTGAAGCAGGCGGAGCAACTCACATCTTTGGTGACAGTGATGGCTGGACTTCCTTCACGAACTCCTTCAACTGGAGTCGAGGAAAAAGAATTGCATGTCGGCCATGTTCTTGGTAAGTATAAATTGATTTGCATATGTCTGCATAAAACAACATGATACATTAGATCTACACATAAATGTCTTTGTTTGAAAGCAAAATTTACCAGGAAAATTGTTTGCTAAATGCAGCCAAGTAAACTATTTATCATTCTTATCCTGAGAAAATTAAACTAACGACGTACACAATGAAATGCAAGTGAACTCAACTGCATACAGAAAATGCATGAAACACCCATATACAAAATTGTTAATGGCCATGACTCTCCGGTTTTATCAGAAGTTGACAAATTTTGGTACATCTGTGCGTGGCTGATCACTATGAAAATGGTCAGAAGCTGGCCATCAAGGTAGTTCTTTAGGTAACAAGGAAAACAGTGCCAGCTTACTTTCAGAATAAAACAATATGCTATCTTGATTACCATCAAAGTAGAATAAAAACGAAGTGGAAGTTTGATCTTTGCTTCAAAAAATCCCTCCTGTCAAGGAACAGATGCATAAACTAATAACCTAGCCAAAGAAAAAGGTACAACTGGTGACAAAATCCTGAACTCTCCTACACTTCATGTTATAAACAAAACTTGAAGTTATTCTGAATTTTTGCAATCCCTGAATATTCATAAAAATGAGAACAGTGTTAACTATTTGGAGTCAGACCACCCTTAAACCCTTTAGAACGACCATTAATATGTTAAAAAAGTAATAGAATTGCTACATAGAATAATATGCATAGAAACATATCTGGAAAAGGGCTAAAAATATAATTTAAGAGAGAGGGAACAGAACCTGGAAAGAACAGAAACATCTTAAAAGTATTCTGACAACATTGATCATTATTGATGTATGTGACTTCATTCATGTTATGTAATTTAAGGCACATTTGCAGCACTGAGTTTTTCTTGCAGTTTCACAATCCGACTCTGCACAGAAAGCGAAACAAAATATTAAACTCCAAGGCAAATCAGAGAGACAGAGAGGAGTAAAACATGTAATTCGTTCCATAAGACAATGAAAGAATGAGAAGAAAGTCTGCAGACATACTCTGCAGTAGCAGTTCAATAAGAGAGCACTACATCTAGTGATTTTACAACTTATTATATTTTGTTTATTATGAATGGTGAGAATCAAATGAGATCTTCCATACTCAAAACCATCATTTGATCACATGAGCTACAGCCTAAAGCCTGAGAATATGTTATGATTTTGCTTGAAAATCTAATTAGCAAAGAAAGAGAACAATCTTAGCATCCTTGCAAGGATTTTAAAATATAGTTCAACACACTTACTTTATCTACAGAACTGAAAGTTGACAATGGAAACTAGACCTATCAGTAAGAAGTACAAGTTCGAATGGTACCTTGAATGATTTGGAACGACGAATAGAAGGATCTATCTGCAGACATGTTGAATATGACTTCTCAGCTGCATCATATTGGTCCATAGCCAAAAAGATATCACCTTGGCAAATGTAAGCCTGTGAAATTGGAATTTGTTAGTTTAACATTTGGTGTACTATAACTGGTATGGCATTTCTCAATACTAACCCATCTTCTATCTGTACATGTATAATAGCAAATAGCGCTGCATTTAAAGGGATCATAACAACAGAAGTTGAAATATTGGATTCCTTGAAACTCTCTTTAAATTTAAGATCCAAATGCCAAGATTTAAAAAGTTGTGTCACCTCAATATACTGTGGTGCTAACTTCAAAGCTTCATTAGCATCTTCAACAGCTCCTGAGTACTTGCCCATTGCCAATCTTACCAGAGATCTGAAATGAAGACAAGTCTGGTAAATCTATCAGAGCAGATCCCATTTAACTACAGAGTGGGTTGGAGTCTGGTTTACAGCTAATTGTGTTTGTGAAAATAAAATACATTTTCTGACATAAATCCTACTGGAAGATTGTTAGAATGAATTATATCATCAGAAAAAGTATTGACATTAGTACATTATAACCTTCTACATCATTAACAAATGTTTTTTTTTCCCCTGATGCAAGCCTTAGACGGTCAATCTATGCAGCAGTATTTATTGTGAATGGATTGCATTAATGACCAACGACTCTTTTCTGGTTTAGAATTCTGCCAATTCCATTCAAGAGTTCTGTTCCTGTTGGAATTACAGGAACTAGCAGTCCATGTAAGAATGATTGAAATTTGTCAATTATATAATTTAAATAGAGAAATGTTTTAAGCATTCTCCTTCTGCGTCAAATACGGTGAAGACTAAGTATACATGCTGGGTTTCAAAATGATTTTTATAAAGCAAAGTAAATATTATAATTCCATGAATAAAGAAATTTCTTTTGACAAACCTGTTTTTATACAGAATATGGATACCACCAAATGGTTTTAAATCTATACCCTGCATCACTTAATAAACACAGCAAAATTAAGATGCAGAAACGAAACCTCAATCTATATAAGCTACCAACAGTTAAATCAGACCTTGTATCAATAAAATTCAATGGAAAATTAAACTACTGCAAACACATGTAAACAAGAAATTTTAAAACTTTTTGATCCACCCCCAATAAAAACTATACCTGACACAGCAATCTCTCAGCCTCTTCGAAATCACCCTTCTCAAACTCACCCTCTGCTCTCTTCCTCAGCGCAAGCGCCTCCAAGCTCTTATCCCCAGACCCCCTAATTCCACACAGCTCCATCGTAACTTGAGCAGCTTTAGCTGCCGTCCCACAGTGTCCGACCATAACTCCACCGGGCAGAGCCACGAGGTTGGGCCCGGCCCCGCAACGGCCCAAGCACCCACACGTGTTGACGGCCACATGGGGCGGGGCCAGGGCCGTGAGAGTCTCGAAGGTCTGCATGGAGCCCTGTTTGCGGCACGTGCGGTTGGTGCAGACTCTGATCTCTTTCAACTCCGCTTTAACTTTGATGCGCGGAGGTAATGAAAAGGCAGGAGCCAAGCAGAGGCAGGTTCCTTCCGCCATTTTATCTGAAGTCTCTGTTCTTCTATCTTGTTCTCGGTCACTCAATTGAAATGAAACGGGGCAAGTTGACTCGTTGACTATATCACTAAAAAAATAAAAATAGTGAAAAAATTAAATAAATAAAAATAGTGAAATATCAATTAGGCAATCTATTATTTACAAAATTATGCTATCGCATTTTTAATCACCGTTGCTCCCCATAAGTTTTAAAAACTAGTAGTTATACCCTTATCTCTAACTTTGTCAACTTCTTGCTCATCTTGAAGAGCAAAATATATCATATTATCATTTATGTTTATTTACGCAAGAAAACACAATGAATAATATAATTATATAATCTATGCTGATGGTATTATTGTGAGACAACCATCTAAATTATTCTAAAGTTATCATTGTTTTAGCCAATAGACATTGCACACGTTGAATCATAGCAGAAGATTGAAAAACCTTAACAAATATTTAAAGGTAATAGTTCCTGTACAAATTTTTTTTTTTTTTTTTTTACAAACTCTCATATAAATTGATATGTTTTTAGATAATTTAATGATTTTAGTTTAAAAATAAATTAAATACTTAAAAGAGATTATATGTCAAACATGTAGAATTACCATATCAGTTTGTAGCAATTAGTTTATATCGATAGTTTGTATATGTGACATTACTCAATATTTAAAGATGTTTATGTTGATTTGGTAATCGTGGGTTTTAAAGCAAATTGGATTTTTATTTTATTAGTTTCGTACTGGTTTAGGGCATAAATTATTAAACCTTACCACCCTGTTGTTTAAGTTTTTTCTTATTATCTTGGAGGAATTGTTTGTTTTTACAAATATTAATTTGGGTAGAAAGTTACTTCTTAGAACCTTTGCCTCACATACTTAATTTGTTAAGAGAGAAAAAAAAAAAAAAATGCCCTTTGAAATATTCTTTCTTATGTTTGTCATATTCTCCATTTTAATCTTGGTTGTGCATTTTTATAACTATGTATCGAGCCTGGATAATAGTGGATGCATCCTAATTAATTGTTACAGAAGGCTTTCTAGCCCTGCTCCTTCAGAAATAAATTCAACATTAAAACCAAAAAAATACAAAGGTTGGTATTGCATATAGAAAAAAGCAAATTTAGAATTTATTAGTAAAATTCTAAGCAGGTAAAAAAACAGGTAAAAAGTCACAAACAAGAAGTACAGCACAGCAAAAACAAGGATAAGGAAATTTATCAGCTGATCGAGTTCACATCTTAGGTTTTTCGAAGCTTCCGAGACGAAGTTGCCTCCGCGCGTAAAGTGTATGGAAGAACCACTCTCGCAAACATAAAAACAAGGGAAAAAAATATGCCATCCATACCATTAGAGTTATTGACCCACTTAACGCATACCATGAACCTGAGCCGACCGGGTATGGACAAGTTTCAATTACGGCAGAACAATAAGCAAACACGATCAAAGTTTGTGGATAAGCCAATGATTTTGCTGAAAGGAAGTCCATTTATGAGAACAATAATTGTGGTAACTGAAGTTGAAAAAGCCAGGGTATTAAGTATCAAGAAAAAGAAATGAGCTGGAGACCCCTGAATCATATGCCCTGCATGCAGCTGTGATCGCCCTCGGTACCAAATGTTTGGATTTAGAAAAATGCTGGAGAATGAGATGGCTGATGTGTTATTGATAACAGAAGTGTTGTTTGTTGCCACCTCACCTTCATCTTGCCAAAGTCCTCCTGGGGGGCTGAGTGCGGCTTGGTAGGTGGCCGTGGCAATCAATATTGCCACCACAAGGACCACGTTTTGGACTTCAAGAGGAATCCTATTTATGATTAGGTTTCCAAGCCCTGTGCTTTTGATAATTACTTCTAAAATGTTTAGTTCCATACATAAGTAGCGGGAAAATAAAATTTTAGAATGGAATATTTCGTGACTTAATATTGTTTTAATGTTAAGAAGATTGAGTTGAGAAGCTCTTTTAGGCACAAATGACATCTCATCAATACGCTCCAAAACAAGAGGATCCTCCGCAACTATTGAAAATAATGCATCCACATCTCCTTCTACGGCAGAATTCTGCAGCCTCTGCAACCTTTCATCCATACTTTCTTAGGTGGCTGATTGACACCTGTTTTACGATTTTGCTTTTGATTATGGAAGCAAGAAGACCAATTTAATATAGTATGAGAATGAGCTTTATTCTCAGTTCTTTTTTTTTTTTTTTCTTATCTATGAAGCAGAGCATAAACTCCTCTTTTTACTTTCATAAACTTTTTCTTATAAAAAAAATAATTATAACTATAACTATCATAAACTTTTTCTTATAAAAAAAATAATTATAACTATAAATATATACAGTAAAACCTCTTTGTAGTCATAATGGTGGGACTAACTAATTTTATTACTATAAAGAGATTATAATTTAATAGAGGTGTAATTGCAAAAATTATAGTTTTGATTTCTTATTTTTTAATTCATGTTTTAGCAGTACAATATTAAGATTTCAATTCATATTTTATTAGTATTAGGATTTCAATTTAGTGCTTCAATTGCATACTTTTGAAATAGATAGAAGACCGTGTCTTGGAACCAGCAAAAATAAATGTCATTGATGGAACTATAAATGCAGTTGATGCATGGTCAATTGATATGAAGCCATAGACAATTGCCAATGGTTTTAAGCATTGCAAAATTAGGACCCTCGATTTCGATAAATTGTAAGTTACAAACGAAGTGGACGAGGAAAATAAAAGAGTCATTGCAAAATTGAGTGATCAGATTCGACAAGAAAAATAAAAGAGTTATTGCAAAATTGAGTGATCAAATTCGACAATTTCACTACACTAATCGAATGGATATTAATGTCTTCATCGATCATCCAAATGAGCAACAAATTATGTATATTTTAACCAAAGAAGAAATAATTGCTACAATTAGACAAGAAAATAAAGAAAATAATCCCAAGGATGATAGTACGGAAATACAAAAAGTTTCGTGTCATAAAACTCTAAACATGCTTGAGAAGCTAAAAATATTTTGGGTAGTATTCATATTATCAAGTTATTACATACTAGCAAGGTAAAAGATGTGGTAACATATCTAAAATATAAATCATTATCTCAAACAATTTTAGATAAATATTTTATTTCATTTTAAACCTTTAATGTTACATAACATATACTTTTTGATAATATACAGATAATTATTACTATGAGAAGACAACTTTCCTTAAGACGGAATTAGAAAAATTATAACTTATTACAATGTGAAGTTTATTCTTATTTATAACTATCTCAAATTGGAGTNAAAAAAAAAAGATAAGGACATGTTAGAAACTTATGTAATGAAAATGCATGAGAAGGCAAATGAATGTTTGAGTGCTTAGTTACCTCAGGGTGACTTTCACAAATTGCAGTATGCAACGCATTGTTTCCTTCTTCATCTTCGCACTTTAGGATTTCTTCCCTGTCGAAGTGTCGAAGCCATCCTAACAAGACTTTAAAAGCTTTAAAACTCCAGTTTTTGATGGCCACATGGATAGCAGTTTCAGATTTAACTGTCAAATCTTCAATAGACGATGGACAAACATACAAAAAATCAGCCAAATTGATTTCATCGTTTAGTTGAGCTGCGTAGTGCAAAGGAGTAACCATTCCCTTTGCCTTCACTCGGATAAGCTCAGGGTGAGTTTTTATCAACCATGTTACCAGTTCCTGGTACTTCTCCACCAACCCCGAATCTCGGGGACTACGCTCTTGCTGCAGCTGCTTGCCCTCCAAAGCCAAATGAAGCAGGCCACGTCCAAGATGGTCTCGCTTCCCGACAAATGATGGCTTTAAGTTTAGAATTTCCTTGACGAAATGGATCTTTCCCCCGCTTACAGCTGCGTGTGAGGGAGTAGTCACAAATGACATCTCATCAATACGCTCCAAAACAAGAGGATCCTCAGCAACTATTGAAAATAATGCATCCACATCTCCTTCAAAGGCAGAATTCTGCAGCCTCTGCAACCTTTCATCCATACTTTCTTAGGTGGCTGATTGACACCTGTTTTGCAATTCTGATTATGGAAGTAAGAAGACTAATTTAATATAGTACGAGAATGAGCTTTATTCTCATTTTTTTTTTCTTATCCATACAAGAGAAGCAAAGCATAGACTCCTCTTTTTGCTTTGATAAACTTTTTCTTATAAAAAAGATAACTATAACTATAACTATAACTATAACTATAACTATATATATAAATTTATCAACTATATATATAATTTAATATTCTCAACTATTCTTTATTCAAAATGTCTAATATAAAATTATCATGATCTTGCATATACAATAATTGATCTAGGTTATAAAATATTATTTAATTAATTTAACAGCAAATATATCTGATTCCGACCAAATTTATATCATAATGTGCTGACTTTAAAATGACTCCGCATATATATAATATAAATAGTTGAGATCTTTTTAAATTTAAAAATTATAAAATTAGAAAAGCAAAAGTGGATAAAGTAAAAAGAGGGCGCTACGCTTTGCTTCTTCTGTATGGATAAGAATACCAAAACAGGAAATGCGAATAAAGATGGCTAAAATCCAGGCTCGGCTCGGCTACAGCCCTAGAACCAAAGGCCAAAAGAAAAAGTTTGAATAATAAATTGTGTCTGGTCTCTAGCATTAGAGACTGATGCTAAACTTGCATTGTATATTTAAGCATCTTTCAAGTCATTTTGAAAATTCTTTAAAAATATTTTGTAGATACCAGACCAGAAAACTTGTATATATAAGTTCACATATATATGATGTGATAGATACTTAAATATACAATGCAAGTTTAGCATCAGATATATACATATATATCAAACAGGAAATGAAAATAAAGATGTTTAAAATGTATTGTAGAACATGATAAGAAAAAATAAAAACAGCGAGACAAAATATACTCCAAAATTTTGAATATGTGATTCACTTATTAATATGGCGCTTCCCTTGGAATGTGGTCTGGATAAAAATAAAAATTAAGAATAGCTAGTTTATGAGTGTTAGCTAATATCATTTTATAATAATTTTTATTTTTTAATATAAAGTAAATTTTTTATAATAATGGGGTTTTGGTAAAATTAACTGTATTGGAGTTTCAAAGTTATCTTTCACAATTTATGGTCATTTTATTGTTGTCTTAACCAAGAAATAGAGCTGATCTATGTCGAAATCATTTCCTTTTTGCTTTTTTTGTTTCTCTTAAAACTATCTTCTCATATATTATTTAGGAATAATAATATTTACATATACAAGATCACCTTACAATTAAATGATGAGTGGCCCCAGTTTGTCACCACTCTTCCTCCTTGTATGGCCTAAATATACTTAAAACTAAGCTAAGATGCACTGGCCACCGTACCCCAGGCCCCAACGTAGCTGCGCCCGTGCATCTTCGGTTGTTGGAAGCTTCCCGGATGCAGTTTCCTCCACCGGCCGTACTGGATGAACTGCCATTCTTGGGCACGCAGAAGGAGTGGAATAGAATATGCTACCAATGTAGATGCAAGCATTAAGCAAGTGAAAAAAATCCATTCAACATAGCCGTCCGGCGGAGAGGTTGCTAGCATTGCAGATAAATATGCAAACACGATCAAAGTTGTGGACAGGGCAATGCTTCTGGAAAAGGGGAGTCCAGTTATGAGGATAATAATATTGCACACGGAAATAGAAAAGGCCACCGAATGAAACAGAAAGAAAAATGCGTGAAATGGAGAGCCCAGAATCATTTGCCCAGCACAATGTTGGTCAATATTGTTGGTGGTTGTGGTGTTACTGATAACAGTGTTGTTTGTCGGCGGACGGCCACATTGGCCATGGCTGTCATCTTGCCAATATCCTCCAGGCGGGCTCAGAGCAGCTTGGTACGTGGCCGTCACAATCAATACCGCCACCACAAGTGCTACGTTTCGGATTTCAAAAGGGAGTTTGTTTAGAATTTGGTCACCAAGCCTCAAGTGTTTCAGAATTTTTTCGACTATAGATAAGTCCCCACTTAAGTGATCGACAAGTGTTGTTTTAGGATTAACAGAGAGTTAATTGAAGTTGCACGGTTAATTGTAGTATCGGGATTACGATGAAATTGACAAGCTCTTTTAGCTTTAGCACGAAGTAGAATTTTCCCAACCTCTGCATATTCAGGTGAATTCTAGTGATCGTAGAAGATGTCCAAAGCTGTCTTCCTTTGCCCGTTCTTGTCATTTACCGCCATATGTTTAATCAGCAGCTTCACGACCTTTATTATTGAGGAGATAGAGATAAGTCAAGAACTTTTGTTAAGAAGTTGAAAAGGCAAAGAGCTTTTTATTACCTCAGGTTGATTTGTAAGTGTTGCAATATGCAAAGCGTTGCTGCCATCTTCGTCCTTCCAGCTTAGGATATCTTCTTTGTCGAAGTGCCGAAGCCATCCTAACAATACCTTAAAAGCTCTAAAACTCCTGTTTTTGAGGGCCACATGGACGGAAGTTTCACATTTAACTGTTAAATCTTTGATAGATGAAGGGGAAACATACAAAAAATCAGCTAAATTCAATTCATCGTCTATTTCGGCCGCGTAGTGCAAAGGAGTAACCAATCCTTTTGCTTTGACGTGGACGAGCTCTCTGTCGATTTTAATGAACCATGTTACCAACTTCTGGTGCCTCCCCTCCAACGCCAAATGAAGGGGGCTACGCCCGAGTTGGTCTCGCTTCCGAGCAAAGGATGGTTTTAAGTTTACCATTTCCTTGGCGAAATGGAAATTTCCCTCGGCTGCGGCTGTGTGTAAGGGAGTGGTCCCAAATGGTATCTGATCAATACGCTCCAAAACAAGTGGATCCTCCTTGAGTATTGAAAATAATGCCTCCACATCTCCTTCTGCGGCAGAATTCTGCAGCCTCTCCTCCATGCCGTAGGTGTTCTGTTTGAGAGACGTTTTCTACTATTTTGCAGCAGAGTAGCACTTTCAGTCTTCAGAAGTGGAATGAGAAACTATAAGCTACCATTCCACAAGACTTAGGAGAAGACTTAGAATAAACATAATTTACTGTGAATTTCCTAACTTTTACATAGAAAAAACAGACGAAAATGTATTGAAGCTGGAACAAGACTTAGGAGAAGACTTAGAATAAAGAAACCAAAATACTTTAAATGTCCTGAGACCGTATTCGACAAGGTATTGAATCGAAACAAGCCAGAACGGGACTGTACTAACTACTTCAGCGTATCCAAGGGTTCAAATCTTTTGAATTTTTCAAAAAACTAAAAAAGGAAAGTAATTCTCTCTCTCTGGCTGTGCGCCCTTTCTCCTTTCTCCTTTCTCATCTTCCTTTTCTCTTCACTTGTCACAATCTCTCCATCCTAACACTTGAAGTCCAATACATTGAAGATAAAAATTCAACAGTCAAATGTTCTTTCTTCGTTTTTGTGATAGTCTCCAGACTCCAGGTACATAAATATAAATTTTAATCTTGCTGGTGCATGCATTTTCCTTGCCTATATGGATGGAGCCTGGATAATAATAGATTGGATCCTAATTGTTACCGAAGGCTTTCTAGCCTTGCTCCTTTAGAAGTAAATTCCAAACTAAAACCAAACAAATACTGAATTAGGAGATGATGTGGATGCATTATTTTCTCAAAAGAACAGAACTGGACTGTATTATTTTATCAATTTATGATACAAATAAACTTTTGAAATCAGCATTTTTATGGCACTTATAAATTTAAAAAAAAAAAGGGGTTATTAATGGTTATGTATTGATCACTGTAACCAAGCTACGATGAGATCAATTCTACTAAGACTCCCTCTATTTATTCCCTTTGACCACAAAATAGTAAAGACTCGTTTACAAACTACTTGCACTAATTTCCACTCGCTTACAAAGAGTTTAGACGGAGTTTGAATAACACACCGCTTTCTTACATTAATTAGGCTATCTGACCCGCGGACTTCCTTGTTGGGCTTCCAGTTTGGCCTATGGACCTTGCTAATTGTAAATCAACAGTTGTGCATTAATCAATGGTTTGACCAAGATAAAGGATAGCAATCCTACCAACAGCCCATTAACAGAAATTACCACATGCACTCATGGACATTTATTCATTCCACGCCCGTAAAATTTATGCATGACCCATTCTCGGAGATAAAATGATGTAATATAATAAGGTATCACTCCATTAGAGACTGATATTGAGATACCGTAAACCTGAACCAACCGAGTACAGACAGGTGTCAATCACGATCAAAGTTGTGGTACACCGATGATTTTGGAGAACGAAGCCCGGTTATGACAACAATTATTGTGCAACTGTCGTGGAAAAAGCCACAGTATTATATATCATGAAACAGAGATGAGATAGATCAGCATGAAATGATAGGATGATGAATGTGTAAGGATAATACAAAACAAAAAGAACAAAGATTTTTTAAGTGGTTTGGTCGCTTATAATACAAGTTTTATACTACTGTTATGTTATTGAATGTGTAAAGTGTTGGACTATAAAACAAAACTACACGTTTAAGGAAGAGCAACACGACAACTTTTTGTGTATTGGTGTTTTGCTTTAGTAGCTCACTAAGCTACTACCGTGTTTCTTCTTCTCAACACTTTTGACTATAAAATGTACAGTGTTGAGAACTTTACTAATTAATGAAAAAAACACATAAATTTTCTTCGTCTTTCTCTACTACTCTTTCTTCCTCTCTACTGTTCTTACATATTTCACATGGTATCAGAGCTTTGACAAAGGTAATGGCTGAATTCGATCCTTCTAAGTTCATTAACACCGACAAGATGCTGAATAACTTCCACATTCAGTATTTTTGCTTCGCCTGTGTTCTCATCCAGCCTACAAGTGATTAACCCTAACTCACTCTTGACAACTATCGTTTCTAGAGGTCGCAAGTTCTGTTCACCGAGGGTGCTCATGCATTGGAAGACCACTTGATAGGTACAGTTTCTTGTCCTCCACCACTCATTTGTACCAAGAAAGATAACTCTGGAATTGTTGGTGAAACTATAGACAAAGAAAATATAGTTACAGAGGAAATTAATCCAGCTTAGTTGTTTGAGTACTGATAAATTCTTGGTTAGTTGGCTGTTAGCTCAATTTCAGAAAGTATGTTTGGCTATGTCTCAAAACTCATCATTCAAGTGAATATGGTTTGTTATCTTCAAGTGAAATAGGGTTTGTCCTAGAGAATGAGTTTGAAATAGATTCTAAGGCTGGAGCTTTGCACTTAAGAATTTGTTGCAAAATACTCATAAGAAGGACTTGCATAAATAGTTACTTCAAGAAAACGAAGGAGATTGCGGACAATTTATCTGATAGTGGACAGTCCATATCAGATGAGGATCTTCCCAATATGTCCTAGATGGCTTGGCCCAAGTATGATGTGCTGTTGTGAATTTAACTTCACGTATTGATCTAAAGTGGATTTTGTCTCCCTGCAAGAAGCAAAGTTTTTGCTGCAAAAATATGAAATAAGGCTGGAAAAATTTAATACCTTGGACTTCTCAAGCAGTAGCATTTTACTGTTCATTTGTAGCCCTATTCATTTCTTGGTTGAATTAAGGGTTAGTAAATCTAGAAGGTTTTAATCTAGAAAAACTCTAGAATTGATCCTAGGTTGCACTTGGTCAGCCTGTAACGTTGGTCAGCCATGTGTTAGGTGGTCCCGAGGTGGTCCCGTACCTTGGTGGTCCCCTGATCTAGGAGAAAACTGGAACTTTTAGGTTAGAATTATTTTAGAGATGTCTAATTTCTTAAGGGATTAGGAAGCAACAGTAGGTGAGATGATACAGTAGCAGTAACGCCATAGAATTAATAATCAACACCAAAACACAAGCTATAAGAATTAATGAAATCTTTAACACTCAAGAAATTAATATGGCAAAAATCGATCAACACTTACTAACTGGAACATACCACCAGTTTAAAAAGACACTATGCAATAAGTGTTTTGAATTTAAGTCAGATACTCTATTAAAACAACAGAAGACACAATAATGATATCTGAAAAGGGTTGAAGAAATTCAACTTCTTTTGAAGAAGCAATATAAACACAGACAAAACAATTATAAATTTTTACACTAGGATTATTACAAGTAGCAGTAAAACCATTATTTAGATTAGGACAAAACTAATCTTAGTAATGTTAGGACGTAAGAAATTTAAACTTCAATAACTCTTTATTAGCAGTATAAAATTCTAATTTAGTGGTTACAAAAATAGTTTCCTTTTCACTTCATTTTGATAATATTTTCATTTTCTAACCAATTAAAGAAATAAATATTTTGTTTAATTTTTCTATGTATTGTACCTTCAGATCTAAGGGTATTTTGTTCTTCTAGTTTAAATGTTGTAAAGAAAATTTTACTTTTTTCTTATTAAGTTTTTTAGAAATTCTTGTTTTAATAATTCTTTTTTATTTCAAAAGGTTTAGTTATTGTGTTAATTTGACTAATTTCCTAATACTTCTGATTGTGTGGGTGAACTAGGTGGACTTGATGTGTTTTCATATGCTGGTTTTGGTACAGAGGGGATAAATCTACTCCTACTAATTTCTTGTTGAACTTGCTGATGAGCTTTGGTGTAGTAATTTCTTCAATCCTAGGGTTGTGATGATTTTTATTAGTAATTATGGTTGATTTTATTCTAAGGGAGTTTCTCTAAATTTTAATCTTATTGTACCATCTGGTTCTTGTATTATTTGTTGTATTTCATTCTTTTGATCATGTAGTTTTGGAGCCATAATTTTTCTAATTTCCAATCTGTTTATTTAATAATTTCATCCCAAGCTAATCTTTTTGGTGTAAAAGTTTTATGTTTTGTCTTATCGGCTTCCATAATAACTATGTCCCCTGGTGGGGACATCCTAATGGCTCTTGGACTAATTGTGGTATTCATAACTTTGTAATAAATCCTATATATTAATGCTACAGTTTGGGCTTTATCTTGATAAGTAGATTAGAAGCTTTAATTTAATAGTTATGCAGACATATGTTGGATCATAAAAACCTACTATAAAGTTTGGATACAGTCAAAATATACTAGACCACTTTCTAAATTAGAATTTAATACTGCTAATAAAGAGTTATTGAGTTTAAATCTGGCTCTCTTAACATTACTAAGATTGGAATGTTTTGTCCTAATCTAATAAGGTTTTATTGCCTTGTACTAATCCTATGTGTAAAATTTATAATTGTTTTGTCTGTGTTTACGTATGCTTCTCTTCATAAAGAAGTTGAATTTCTTCACCCTTTCTTCAGATATCATTATGTGTCTTCTGTTGTTTTAATAGAGTAATCTACATAAACATCAAACTACCTATTTGATATATTGTGTCTTTTTTAACTGGTGTATGTTCCGTTATGTAAGTGTTGATCGATTTTTGCCATATTAATTTCTTGAGTGTTAATAGATTTCATTAATTCTTGATTATTGTTTGTGTTTGGTGTTGATTATTAATTCTAATGGCGTAACTACTACTGCTATCATCTTGCCTACTGCTGCTTCCTAATCTCCTTAAGAAATTGGACGTCTGTAAAATAATTCTAACTAAAAGTTCTAGTTTTTCTCCTAGATCATGAACCACCAAGGTACGGGACCACCTAAAACACGGCTGACCAACGGTTACAGGTTGACCAAGCGTACCTTCCAGGCTGACGAAGCGCAACCTAGAATCAATTCTAGAGTTTTCTTATTAAAACATCTAGATTTATCTAACCCTTAATTCAACCAAGAAATGAACTGCTATAGATGAACAGTAGTGACAGTAACCTGCTACAGTGCATGAAAGTAATAGTGAAAGTGACTGTGAACAATGTTTTGAACAGTGTTGCTACAGTAAATACAGTAATGAATGTTAATTTGTGAGTTTTTAATTCCTAATTCTTTACTTCTATTGACTGTTTTGGCTCTGATACCACAGATAGCAGAATCGTTAAAATCTTGAGGAT